ACCTTACCTCCTGTCCAAAGCAACAAGTATTCGTCACGAACCTTCAGTATCAAACGGATCTTACCTCCTGTTAAAAGCAACAAACATTCGTCACGAACCTTCTCTATCAAACGGATCTTACCTCCAGTCAAAAGCAACAAACATTCGTCACGAATCTTCTGTATCAAACGGATCTTACCTCCTGTCAAAAGCAACAAGCATTCGTCACAAAACTTCAGTATCAAACGAACCTTACCTCCTGAACAACGGAACAAGCATTTGTCACGAAACTTCAGTATCAAACGGACCTTACCTCCTGTCAAAAGCAACAAAAATTCGTCACGAAACTTCAGTATCAAACGGACGTTACCTCCTGTCTAAAGGAAGAAGCATTTGTCACGAACCTTCTGTATGAAACAGACCTTACCTCCTGTCAATAGCAACAAGCATTCGTCACGAATCTTCAGTATCAAACGGACCTTACCTCCTGTCCAAAGCAACAAGCATTCGTCACGAACCTTCAGTATCAAACCGACTTTACGTCCTATTCAAAGCAACAATCATTCGTCACGAACCTTCAGTATCAAACGGAACTTACCTCCTTTGCAAAGCAACAAGCATTCGTCGCGAAACTTCAGCATCAAACGGATCTTACCTCCTGTCAGAAGCAACAAGTATTCGTCACGAACCTGCAGTATCAGACGAACCTTACATCCTGTCCAAAGCCACAGGCATTCGTCACGGATTCTCAGTATCAAATGGACCTTAACTCCTGTCAAAAGCAACAAGCATTCGTCACGAAACTTCAGTATCAAACGAACCTTACCTCCTGTCCAAATGAACAAGCATTCGTCACGAACCTTCAGTATCAAACGGACCTTACCCCGTGTCAAAAGCAACAAGCATTCGTCACGAAACTTCAGTATCAAACGAGCCGTACCTCCTGAACAAAGGAAAAAGCATTCATCAAGAACCTTCAGTATCAAACGGACCTTACCTCCTGTCAAAATCAACAAACATTCGTCATGAACCTTCAGTATCAAACGGACCTGACTTCCTGTTCAAAGCAACAAGCATTCGTCACGAACCTTCAGTATCAAACGGAACTTACCTCCTGTCCAAAGCAACAAGCATTTTTTTTTCACGAACATTCAGCATGAAACGGATCTTACCTCCTGGCACAAGCATCAAGTATTCGTCACGCACCTGCAGTATCAAACGAACCTTATTTCCTGTCCCCAGCAACAAGCATTCGTCACGAATTCTCAGTATCAAATGTACCTTACATCCTGTCCAAATCAAGAAACATTCGTCACGAATTCTCAGTATCAAATGGACCTTACCTCCTGTCCAAGCCACAAGCATTCGTCTCGAACCTCCAGTATCAAACAAACTTTACCTCCTGTCCAAAGCAACAAGCATTCGTCACGAGCCTTCAGTATCAAACGGACCTTACCTCCTGTCCAAAGTAAGAAGCATTCGTCACGAACCTTCAGTATCAAAACGGACCTTTCCTCCTGAACAACGGAACAAGCATTCGTCACGAACCTTCAGTATCAAACGGACCTACCTCCTGTCAAAAAGCAACAAAATTCGTCACGAAACTTCAGTATTGAACGGACGTTACCTCCTGTCTAAAGGAAGAAGCATTCGTCACGAACCTTCAGTATGAAACGGACCTTACCTCCTGTCAATAGCAACAAGCATTCGTCACGAACCTTCTGTATCAAACGGAACTTACCTCCTGTCCAAAGCAACAAGCATTCGTCACGAACCTTCAGTATCAAATGGACTTTACCTCCTATTCAAAGCAACAATCATTCGTCACGAACTTCAGTATCAAACGGAACTTACCTCCTTTCCAAAGCAAGAAGCATTCGTCGCGAAACTTCAGCATCAAACGGATCTTACCTCCTGTCACAAGCAACAAGTATTCGTCACGAACCTGCAGTATCAAAACGAACCTTACCTCCTGTCCAAAACCACAAGCATTCGTCACGAATTCTCAGTATCAAATGGACCTTAACTCCTGTCAAAGCAACAAGCCTTCGTCACGAACCTTCAGTATCAAATGGACCTTACCTCCTGTCCATCAACAAGCATTCGTCTCGAACCTCCATTATCAAACAAACTTTACCTCCTGTCCAAAGCAACAAGCATTCGTCACGAACCTTCAGTATCAAACGGACATTAACTCCTGTCAAAAGCAACAAGCATTCGTCACGAACATTCAGTATCTAACGAGCCTTACCTCCTGAACAAAGGAAAAAGCATTCGTCAAGAACCTTCAGTATCAAACGGACCTTAACTCCTGTCAAAAGCAACAAGCATTCGTCACGAAACTTCAGTATCAAACGAACCTTACCTCCTGTCCAAATGAACAAGCATTCGTCACGAACCTTCAGTATCAAACGGACCTTACCCCGTGTCAAAAGCAACAAGCATTCGTCACGAAACTTCAGTATCAAACGAGCCGTACCTCCTGAACAAAGGAAAAAGCATTCATCAAGAACCTTCAGTATCAAACGGACCTTACCTCCTGTCAAAATCAACAAACATTCGTCATGAACCTTCAGTATCAAACGGACCTGACTTCCTGTTCAAAGCAACAAGCATTCGTCACGAACCTTCAGTATCAAACGGAACTTACCTCCTGTCCAAAGCAACAAGCATTTTTCACGAACATTCAGCATGAAACGGATCTTACCTCCTGGCACAAGCATCAAGTATTCGTCACGCACCTGCAGTATCAAACGAACCTTATTTCCTGTCCCAAGCAACAAGCATTCGTCACGAATTCTCAGTATCAAATGTACCTTACATCCTGTCCAAATCAAGAAACATTCGTCACGAATTCTCAGTATCAAATGGACCTTACCTCCTGTCCAAGCCACAAGCATTCGTCTCGAACCTCCAGTATCAAACAAACTTTACCTCCTGTCCAAAGCAACAAGCATTCGTCACGAGCCTTCAGTATCAAACGGACCTTACCTCCTGTCCAAAGCAAGAAGCATTCGTCACGAACCTTCAGTATCAAAACGGACCTTTCCTCCTGAACAACGGAACAAGCATTCGTCACGAACCTTCAGTATCAAACGGACCTTACCTCCTGTCAAAAGCAACAAAAATTCGTCACGAAACTTCAGTATTGAACGGACGTTACCTCCTGTCTAAAGGAAGAAGCATTCGTCACGAACCTTCAGTATGAAACGGACCTTACCTCCTGTCAATAGCAACAAGCATTCGTCACGAACCTTCAGTATCAAACGGAACTTACCTCCTGTCCAAAGCAACAAGCATTCGTCACGAACCTTCAGTATCAAATGGACTTTACCTCCTATTCAAAGCAACAATCATTCGTCACGAACTTCAGTATCAAACGGAACTTACCTCCTTTCCAAAGCAAGAAGCATTCGTCGCGAAACTTCAGCATCAAACGGATCTTACCTCCTGTCACAAGCAACAAGTATTCGTCACGAACCTGCAGTATCAAACGAACCTTACCTCCTGTCCAAAACCACAAGCATTCGTCACGAATTCTCAGTATCAAATGGACCTTAACTCCTGTCAAAAGCAACAAGCCTTCGTCACGAACCTTCAGTATCAAATGGACCTTACCTCCTGTCCATCAACAAGCATTCGTCTCGAACCTCCATTATCAAACAAACTTTACCTCCTGTCCAAAGCAACAAGCATTCGTCACGAACCTTCAGTATCAAACGGACATTAACTCCTGTCAAAAGCAACAAGCATTCGTCACGAACATTCAGTATCTAACGAGCCTTACCTCCTGAACAAAGGAAAAAGCATTCGTCAAGAACCTTCAGTATCAAACGGACCTTACCTCCTGTCAAATGCAACAAACATTCGTCACGAACCTTCAGTATCAAACGGACCTTACCTCCTGTTCAAAGCAACAAGCATTCGTCACGAACCTTCAGTATCAAACGGAACTTACCTCCTGTCCAAAGCAACAAGCATTTTTCACGAACATTCAGCATGAAACGGATCTTACCTCCTGGCACAAGCATCAAGTATTCGTCACGCACCTGCAGTATCAAACGAACCTTATTTCCTGTCCCAAGCAACAAGCATTCGTCACGAATTCTCAGTATCAAATGTACCTTACATCCTGTCCAAATCAAGAAACATTCGTCACGAATTCTCAGTATCAAATGGACCTTACCTCCTGTCCAATGCTACAAGCATTCGTCACGAACCTTCAGTATCAAACGAACCTTAACTCCTGTCCAAAGGAACAAGCATTCGTCATGAACCTTCAAGATCAAACGGACCTTACCTCCTGTCAAAAGCAACAAATATTCGTTACGAACCTTCAGTATGAATTGGACCTTACCTCCTGTCCAATGCAAGAAGCATTCGTCACGAACCTTCAGTATTAAACGGACCTTACCTCCTGTCCAAAGAAACAAAATTTCGTCACGAAACTTCAGGATCAAACGGACCTTACCTCCTGTCCAAAGCAACAAGCATTCGTCACGAACCTTCAGTATCAAACCGATCTTACCTCCTGTCCAAACAACAAGTATTCGTCACGAACCTTCAGTATCAAACGGATCTTACCTCCTGTCCAAAGCAACAAGCACTCGTCACGAATTCTCAGTATCAAATGAAACTTACCTCCTGTCCAAAGCAACAAGCATTCGTCACGAATTCTCAGTATCAAATGACCTTACCTCCTGTCCAAGCAAAAAGCATTCGTCACGAACCTTCAGTATCAAACGGACCTTTCCTCCTGTGCAAAGCAACAAGTATTCGTCACGAACCTTCAGTATCAAACGGATCTTACCTCCTGTCAAAGCAACAAATATTCGTCAATAACCTTCAGTATGAAACCGAGCTTACCTCTTGTCAAAAACAACAAACATTCGTCACGAACCTTCAGTATCAAACGGACCTTACCTCCTGTTCAAAGCAACAAGCATTCGTCACGAACCTTCAGTATCAAACGGACCTTACCTCCTGTCCAAACCAATAAGCATTTTTCACGAAACTTCAGCATGAAACGGATCTTACCTCCTGTCACAAGCAACAAGTATTCGTCACGCACCTGCATAATCAAACGAACCTTACCTCCTGTCCAAAGCAACAAGTATTCGTCACGAATAATCAGTATCAAATGGACCTTACCTCCTGTCCAATGCAACAAGTATTCGTCACGAATTCTCAGTATCAAATGGACCTTACCTCCTGTCCAAGCAACCAGCATTCGTCTCGAACCTTCAGTATCAAACAAACTTTACCTCCTGTCCAAAGCAACAAGACTTCGTCACGAACCTTCAGTATCAAACGGACCTTACCTCCTGTCCAAAGCAACAAGTATTCGTCACGAACCTTCAGTATCAAACGGACCTTACCTCCTGTCAAAAGCAACAAACATTCGTCACGAACCTTCAGTATCAAAACGGATCTTACCTCCAGTCAAAAGCAACAAGCATTCGTCACGAACCTTCAGTATCAAACGGACCTTATCTCCTGTCAAAAGCAACAAGCATTCGTCACGAACCTTCAGTATCAAACGAACCTTATATCCTGTCCAAAGCCACAGGCATTCGTCACGGATTCTCAGTATCAAACGGACCTTACCTCCTGTTCAAAGCAACAAGCATTCGTCACGAAACTTCAGTATCAAACGAACCTTACCTCCTGTCCAAATGAACAAGCATTCGTCACGAACCTTCAGTATCAAACGGAACTTACCTCCTGTCCAAAGCAACAAGCATTCGTCACGAACCTTCAGCATCAAACGGATCTTACCTCCTGTTCAAAGCAACAAGCATTCGTCACAAACCTTCAGTATCAAACGAAACTTACCTCCTGTCCAAACAACAATATTCGTCACGAACCTTCAGTATCAAACGGACCGTACCTCCTGTCAAAAGCAACAAGCATTCGTCACGAAACTTCAGTATCAAACGAGCCTTAACTCCTGAACAATGAACAAGCATTCGTCAAGAAACTTCAGTATCAAACAGACCTTACCTCCTCTCAAAAGCAAAAAAAACATTCGTCACGATACTTCAGTATCAAACGGACCTTACCTCCTGTTCAAACAACAAGCATTCGTCACGAACCTTCAGTATCAAACGGACCTTACCTCCTTTCTAAAGCAACAAGCATTTTTCACGAACCTTCAGCATGAAACGGATCTTACCTCCTGTCACAAGGAACAAGTATTCGTCACGCACCTGCAGTATCAAACGAACCTTACCTCCTGTCCAAAGCAACAAGCATTCGTCACGAATTCTTAGTATCAAATGGACCTTACCTCCTGTCCATAGCAACAAGAATTCGTCATTAATTCTCAGTATCAAATGGACCTTAACTCCTGTCCATATCAACAAAAATTCGTCAGGAATTCTCAGTATCAAATGGACCTTACCTCCTGTCCAAGCAACAAGCATTCGTCACGAACCTTCAGTATCAAACGGACCTTACCTCCTGTCCAAAGCAACAAGACTTAGTCACGCACCTTCAGTAGCAAACCGACCTTTCCTCCTGTGCAAAGCAACAAGTATTCCTCACGAACCTTCAGTATCAAACGGATCATAGCTCCTGTCAAAGCAACAAATAATCGTCACGAACCTTCAGTATCAAAACGGATCTTACCTCCAGTCAAAGGCAACAAGCCTTCGTCAGAACCTTCAGCATCAAACGAACCTTACCTCCTGAATAACGGAACAAGCATTCGTCACGAACCTTCAGTATCAAACGGACCTTACCTCCTGTTCAAAGCAACAAGCATTCGTCACGAACCTTCAATATCAAACGGACTTTACCTCCTATTCAAACCAACAAGCATTGGTCACGAACCTTCAGTATCAAACGGATCTTACCTCCTGTCACAAGCACCAAGTATTCATCACGAACGTGCAGTATCAAACGAACATTTCCTCATGTCCAATGCAACAAGAATTCGTCACGAATTCTCAGTATCAAATTGACCTTACCTCCTGTCCAATGCTACAAGCATTCGTCACGAACCTTCAGTATCAAACGAACCTTAACTCCTGTCCAAAGGAACAAGCATTCGTCATGACCCTTCGAGATCAAACGGACCTTACCTCCTGTCAAAAGCAACAAATATTCGTTACGAACCTACAGTATGAAATGGACCTTACCTCCTGTCCAATGCAAGAAGCATTCGTCACGAACCTTCAGTATTAAACGGACCTTACCTCCTGTCCAAAGAAACAAACTTTCCTCACGAACCTTCAGGATCAAACGGACCTTACCTCCTGTCCAAAGCAACAAGCATTCGTCACGAACCTTCAGTATCAAACCGATCTTACCTCCTGTCCAAACAACAAGTATTCGTCACGAACCTTCAGTATCAAACGGATCTTACCTCCTGTCCAAAGCAACAAGCACTCGTCACGTATTCTCAGTATCAAATGAAACTTACCTCCTGTCCAATGCAACAAGCATTCGTCAGGAATTTTCAGTATCAAATGACCTTACCTCCTGTCCAAGCAAAAAGCATTCGTCACGAACCTTCAGTATCAAACGGACCTTTCCTCCTGTGCAAAGCAACAAGTATTCGTCACGAACCTTCAGTATCAAACGGATCTTACCTCCTGTCAAAGCAACAAATATTCGTCAAGAAACTTCAGTATGAAACGGACCTTACCTCTTGTCAAAAACAGCAAACATTCGTCACGAACCTTCAGTATCAAACGGATCTTACCTCCTGTTCAAAGCAACAAGCATTCGTCACGAACCTTCAGTATCAAACGGACCTTATCTCCTGTCCAAACCAATAAGCATTTTTCACGAAACTTCAGCATGAAACGGATCTTACCTCCTGTCACAAGCAACAAGCATTCGTCACGCACCTGCAGAATCAAACGAACCTTACCTCCTGTCCAAAGCAACAAGCATTCGTCACGAATAATCAGTATCAAATGGACCTTACCTCCTGTCCAATGCAACAAGTATTCGTCACGACTTCTCAGTATCAAATGGACCTTACCTCCTGTCCAAATCAATAAACATTCGTCACGAATTCTCAGTATCAAATGGACCTTACCTCCTGTCCAAAGCAACAAGCATTCGTCTCGAACCCCCAGTATCAAACAAACTTTACCTCCTGTCCAAAGCAACAAGACTTCGTCACGAACCTTCAGTATCAAACGGACCTTACCTCCTTTCCAAAGCAACAAGAATTCGTCACGCACCTTCAGTATCAAACGGAACTTTCCTCCTGTCCAAAGCAACAAGTATTCGTCACGAACCTTCAGTATCAAACGGACCTTACCTACTGTCAAAAGCAACAAACATTCGTCACGAACCTTCAGTATCAAAACGGATCTTACGTCCAGTCAAAAGCAACAAGCATTCGTCACGAACCTTCAGTATCAAACGGACCTTACCTCCTGTCAAAAGCAACAAGCATTCGTCACGAACCTTCAGTATCAAACGAACCTTACCTCCTGAATAATGGAACAAGCATTTGTCACGAACCTTCAGTATCAAACGGACCTTACCTCCTGTTCAAAGCAACAAGCATTCGTCACGAACCTGCAATATCAATCGGACTTTACCTCCTATTCAAAGCAACAAGCCTTCGTCACGAACCTTCAGTATCAAACGGAACTTACCTCCTGTCCAAAGCAACAAGCATTCGTCACGAAACTTCAGCATCAAACGGAACTTACCTCTTTTCACAAGCAACAAGTATTCGTCACGAACCTGCAGTATCAAACGAACTTTTACTCCTGTCCAATACAACAAGCATTCGTCACGAATTCTCAGTATCAAATGGACCTTACCTCCTGTCCAATGCTACAAGCATTCGTTACGAACCTTCAGTATCAAACGAACCTTACCTCCTGTCAAAAGCAACAAACATTCGTTACGAACCTTCAGTATGAAACGGACCTTACCTCCTGTCCAATGCAACAAGCATTCGTAACGAAACTTCAGTATTAAACGGACCTTACCTCCTGTCCAAAGAAACAAACATTCGTCACGAAACTTCAGTATCAAACGGACCTTACCTCCTGTCAAAAGCCACAAGCATTCGCCACGAACCTTCAGTATGAAACGGACCTTACCTCCTGTCCAAAGCAACAAGCATTCGTCACGAACCTTCAGTATCAAACCGAGCTTACCTCCTGTCCAAACAACAGGTATTCGTCACGAACCTTCAGTATCAAACGGATCTTACCTCCTGTCCAAAGCAACAAGCACTCGTGACGAATTCTCAGTATCAATTGGACCTTACCTCCTGTCCAAATCAACAAGCATTCGTCACGATCCTTGAGTATCAAACGAACCTTACCTCCTGTTCAAAGCAACAAGCATTCGTCACGAAACTTGAGTATCAAACGAACCTTACCTCCTGTCCAAAGCAACAAGCACTCGTCACGAATTCTCAGTATCAAATGAAACTTACCTCCTGTCCAAAGCAACAAGCATTCGTCACGAATTCTCAGTATCAAATGACCTTACCTCCTGTCCAAGCAAAAAGCATTCCTCACGAACCTTCAGTATCAAACGGACCTTTCCTCCTGTGCAAAGCAACAAGTATTCGTCACGAACCTTCAGTATCAAACGGATCTTACCTCCTGTCAAAGCAACAAATATTCGTCAAGAACCTTCAGTATGAAACGGACCTTACCTCTTGTCAAAAACAACAAACATTCGTCACGAACCTTCAGTATCAAACGCACCTTACCTCCTGTTCAAAGCAACAAGCATTCGTCACGAACCTTCAGTATCAAACGGACCTTACCTCCTGTCCAAACCAATAAGCATTTTTCACGAAACTTCAGCATGAAACGGATCTTACCTCCTGTCACAAGCAATAAGTATTCGTCACGCACCTGCAGAATCAAACGAACCTTACCTCCTGTCCAAAGCAACAAGCATTCGTCACGAATAATCAGTATCAAATGGACCTTACCTCCTGTCCAATGCAACAAGTATTCGTCACGAATTCTCAGTATCAAATGGACCTTACCTCCTGTCCAAATCAATAAACATTCGTCACGAATTCTCAGTATCAAATGGACCTTACCTCCTGCCCAAGCAACAAGCATTCGTCTCGAACCTCCAGTATCAAACAAACTTTACTTCCTGTCCAAAGCAACAAGACTTCGTCACGAACCTTCAGTATCAAACGGACCTTACCTCCTTTCCAAAGCAACAAGAATTCGTCACGCACCTTCAGTATCAATCGGAACTTTCCTCCTGTCCAAAGCAACAAGTATTCGTCACGAACCTTCAGTATCAAACGGACCTTACCTCCTGTCAAAAGCAACAAACATTCGTCACGAACCTTCAGTATCAAAACGGATCTTACCTCCAGTCAAATGCAACAAGCATTCGTCACGAACCTTCAGTATCAAACGGACCTTACCTCCTGTCAAAAGGAACAAGCATTCGTCACGAACCTTCAGTATCAAACGAACCTTACCTCCTGAATAATGGAACAAGCATTTGTCACGAACCTTCAGTATCAAACGGACCTTACCTCCTGTTCAAAGCAACAAGCATTCGTCACGAACCTGCAATATCAATCGGACTTTACCTCCTATTCAAAGCAACAAGCCTTCGTCACGAACCTTCAGTATCAAACGGAACTTACCTCCTGTCCAAAGCAACAAGCATTCGTCACGAAACTTCAGCATCAAACGGAACTTACCTCTTTTCACAAGCAACAAGTATTCGTCACGAACCTGCAGTATCAAACGAACTTTTACTCCTGTCCAATACAACAAGCATTCGTCACGAATTCTCAGTATCAAATGGACCTTACCTCCTGTCCAATGCTACAAGCATTCGTTACGAACCTTCAGTATCAAACGAACCTTACCTCCTGTCAAAAGCAACAAACATTCGTTACGAACCTTCAGTATGAAACGGACCTTACCTCCTGTCCAATGCAACAAGCATTCGTCACGAAACTTCAGTATTAAACGGACCTTAC